CTCTCAGTGCCTGGCTTGAGCTTCCCAAGCCACTTGTGTGGAAGTGGGGCTGGAGAAGCACCTAAGCACCTTGAGCAGACAGGCATGGCTCACCTGCCACATCCCTGTTCTGGAGCCAAGCAGGATGGTCTTCAGGGTGTCTGCAGAAATGCAGTGGGGTCATGGTTCTCCCCCCTGGAAGGGCATTTTTGAGGGAAAAAACCTTCATCTCTGGGGGAAAAAACCCCAGACACAAAGCTGGTGTGGGTCTGCTAGGAATTGCAGCCACTTTGATGGATCAAGAGGCCAGATGAAGGGCTGTCTTATTTTTCATGCCCCATGGCCATGTGGGTGCAGGCGAGTGTTGGTGGTGGAGCTGGTCCCCATGTGCTGGGGAGCACAGCAGACCTGCCCTCCTGGGGAGCCAGAGCTGCCTTTGGGACTGGCAATCATCATTTAATAGCAGTCTTTAAATTCCCACTCTGCCAGCCATCCATCTTCCCTGAGCAGGATAAAATAGGAAGGCATTTATGCACTTGAATGATGGGCCACGAACGCTGCCAAGCATTTCCTTCTGCTCAGAGTTGCCCAGAGTCACTCCGAGGATGAAGAGGTTTTGTCTCCTTCCCTGTCCTCTGCATGCTTATAGGTCTCCATCCCACATGCAGTGCACTTAACAAACAAACCAAAACCTCCTGCACAATGTGCAGAGGAAGAGGCTGATCCAGTCCCAGCTCTGATTGACGTGCCTGCTCTCCCATTGCGCCGGGAGCTGCAGCGAGCCCCATGTGCGGGTGCAAGGCTCTGGAGACATTCCCAGAGGTGGGGGGCAGTTCCCATTTGTTTTTCAGGCAGTCTTTGTTGAGGCTGGTCATGGCAGGCTGCACCTCCTGCTGCCCAGGCGGTTTTGCGGTTCATTGGGCGGGCAGCGAGCGCGGGGCTGGGAGGGTGAGCAGAGCCCTGTGTGCTGCACCCCCTGTGCAGGGTGCACCCCGCTCAGGGTGCGCCCAGAGAAATGCACGGGCCTGCCTTTAACCTGCTCATCAGCAAAGTCCTCTGAGCTTGGGAGTCTAGGGCAGGCGGGTGGCCAAGGGTGACGTGGCCATGGCTGAGCCACCCTGGCTCCTTTGGGCACCTCTTTGGGACAGTGGGATTTACTGCTGGAGGCATCTTGCAGCGCCAGTGCAGGGGCAGGAGGACTCTTTTGAATGCCAGAGGGAAGCAGGAATCAATCCAGTTTTCAACAGCCACGTATTTCCATGTCGTCTTTCTAGTCTCAGGGCTGTTTCTTACATTCTTGGATAATGAAGTTTGGGGTTTGTTTTTCTTTTCTTTCGAGCTCAACAAAGCCAATTTGATGCACTTTGAAAAGAAATTGAAAACAGGCTTCTCTGCTTCAAATTCTGCCAAGGTTCAAGCGTCCTGGGAATACAATGTCAAGGATAACCCTCCCCCACCTCACCCCCAACTAGACTTAGAAAGTTTTATCTCCTAGCATCAAAGCTGCACAGCTCTCCACTGTGCCTTTAGAGCCTGGGCTGTGCTGTGTGTCCCTCTGATGAGTGAGAATATATATTATTTACTTATTGGCATCCTGGAACAAGTAGTACCTCTCTTAAGCCTTTTTATGGATTTTGCCTGCTGGGAAAAGGACCTAATTTCTGGCAAAGACATGCTGTACTGTCAGTATGTCAGCCTGGCAAAGCAGAGCTGTACGTATGGTTTGCATTTCAGGTTGAATCGAAGCCACAGCTTAAACTGCAGCATTTTTTTACAGCATGGGCTCAGAGAAAGACTCTTTGGAAAAGTATTTACCCAGGGCTTGTAAATACAGTATTATTTCTGCAATGTTTTATCACCCAGGTTATTATGAAATTTGCAATATCAGCCACCAGAAATAACAGAGAGATTGTACTTGCCCCTTTTTTGTTTCTTTTTGTTGTTGATGTGGCAGGGAAACCCTGAACAGCGCTGGGGAAGGGAGCTTGTGCTGGACCTTGCCCAACTTCACAGCCCAGGCTTTCGAGTTCAGGGTGGGAAAGCAGTGGGGCTCTAACTTGTGATGCCCAAACCCAAGCACACTGACAAGGAAGACAAAGTGGGTTTGGACAATAATGATTCCTCAACCACTTGGACTGTAAACTGACTTGACATTAAAAACCCAGCAATCGTTGCCATCCATTTGGCATACTCTGTTCTCTGGCTGTGGGTTAAAAAGGGTTTTTCCTGCAGTGCTTTGAAGGTTCTCCATGTGGCTCCCACATGCATTCCTCCCCCAGGATACTGGAAGTTTTGGCAGACAGGCTTTTTAGATACCCAGAGATGGTATAAGCAACCAGAGGGTTATTATCAGCTGGATAACAAAAACAATCCCCCTGAAAATCCTCTGTGCTGAAGAAAAGGGTCACGGGGGTTTTGGTGAGAGTGGGATGGGGTGTGTCTTTCCAGAAGGGTGGGACAGGGGAGGTGCTGGGAAAACATGCCCAAGAAAGCACAGATTGGGAAGGGACTTGGCTCGATGCAGATGGGAATACTGAGATTTACAGTTAGCCCTATCCTTTGGGATTGATGCCATAGATATCACTGCTGTTAATTCAGCATACTTTGAGGCCGGAGGAACAGACTGTGAGGCACTTACAGTGATGATTAGAAAGGAGTGTGGATATCAGGATACTAGCATCAGCCCTTTATATGCCACAGAGTTATTTTACTATGCTTAAACTAGGATTTAGACATTGCACTTCCCCTACTCTTGCTCAGGAGGCCAGACGTGGATTGCAGGTGTTTGGGAAAGAATGTGTGTCTGCACTCTGCAGAATTTGCTTGAAATCCAGGGCATGAACGTTTTGAGTAGCTGAGCTTGGGTGTTGCCTGTGTCACTTGGCATTGGCTGTGATTCCACAGCAAATATTTATCCCATCCAAGTGGGAGAGAGCTGGGATCACAACCAGCCTTGACAGAAGCCCTGCTGCCCCTCAGGGTGCTTAGGGGTGCTCAGACTCATCCCCTCCCCAGAGAGGCACCTAGGACAATGATGTAGCCATGTAGTTTAATGCCTGGGACAGTTAATGCCAAGCCTTGAATAACCCTGATGGTGATCTAGGACAGGACATCCCTCTCTGGACAGTCTCACCCTGGACTAGGTCCTTTCCACTCTGGGAAGAGATAAAGCAGAGGCCCAAGCCTGGCAGGTCCCAAACCAGGCAGCCCCTGGTTCCCGTCAGGGGCTGCTGCAAACCCTGTCTGAAAAAGAGCATTCAGCCCAGCAGATATATTTTGCTGCACTACATTGTGTTTCTGGGAGAGAAGCAATTAAGTGGGAGCTATAAAGCTGAATCACTCCAAGTGCACCATCAATAGCTCTTATAAACTGCATTAAATCTGCTTAGTCCTTGAAAGGGAGGCATAGAAGGAACTGGGGCTGGGGCCAGTGAGACGGTGGCTCCTCTTACCCACCTCAGCTGATGCAGTGTCTTTGCAAGGGATGTGGCTCCTCACCAGGGGCTGCCTGAAGCACTCTCCCCAAGCTGAGGATATGAAACCTGATGGATTTTAGGTCAGTGCTGTGTCAGCTCATGAGCTCATGCACTGGGGTTGCCTGGGGCAGCTGCTCACGGGGCAGGAGCTGTGCTGGTGGTGGGTCCCTGTGGTCAGTGGGAGCCTGTGGTCCTAAAAGGCCCACAGCTGGAAATGCTGTTGCTTGCCCAGCTGCTTTCTGGAAGTAATTCTGGCTGCTGGCTCTCACCTCCCCAGCTTTTTAGCTCTTTTTTTCAAGCTTTTCCTCTTATAAACAGTCTCTTATCCCTTCTTTGGCAATATATTGTCCTGCTGTGTCTGCCATGGATATGCTTGTGCTTCCAAAATAAATAATTGGAAAAAAATGTATCCACTTGACCATTGCCTTTACTTCCAATGTGGGTTTGAGCTGCTTGGAAATGCCTGTTGGAAAGAAGAGATGCCTTGGAAAGAAGAGAAATGGTGCCAAGGTGTTTTCTGTGGCTCCTGCCTCCTGAAGTGTGTGAGGCTGCCCAAACCCAAGTGAATGAGGCATGGGTGCAGTGTGGTCCAGGGACTGGATTGGCTTGGAGAATGTCTGCCATCTGCCAGGGATGGGGCCTCCACAGCTTATCTGAGCAAGCTGTTCCAATGCCTCAACACTCTCATAGTTAAGAATTTTTTCCTAATATCTAATCTAAACCTCTCTTTCAGTTTAAAGTCCTTTTCCCTTGTCCTGTCACTCACTTGTAAAAAATTCCTCTCCAGCTCTCTTGTGGGCCCCTTTAGGCACAGGAAGGTGCTGTAAATTCTCCCCAGAGCCTTCTCTTCTCTAATCTGAATAATCCCACTTCTCTCAGCCTGTCTTCACAGAAGAAGTGTTCCAAACTCCTCCAGGAGTTTGCACCCTTTTGTTTAAAACGAAGCCAGTCACAGGTCCCGACTGACACTTGGAGCTGCCCTGCTTTTGCTGCATACAGCGATGGGCAGAGCTCCAGAGGCCTTATCTCAGCACACATTGAGATATCCAAGTTATGGGTTCAGTGGGCAACCAGAATAGGAACCAGTGACAGTGCCCAGAGTAAGGTCTGAAAAATAAAACCTCTTAGGAACTGGAAAATGTTCACATCTAGACAGGAATTTGCTGTAGTTTGGTCTTCTTTTTTTTTTTTTTTTTCTTTCTTTTAATTTCTTAATTCTTGATAGCGAAATATTTGACCATGAAAAATTCATTGCCCATAAGGTCATCCTGTACCTCAAAGCTTTAGATATGGCAACCTCTGGGTGAGGAGTGAGCCCTTGCTCTGATTTGCTTCTGAAGGGATTGCAGCTAATTTCTGGCACAAATCACAGCACCAGCCATAACCCTGCTGCCACAGTGGAATACCTCTTGCAGGGACCACACAAGCAGAGGGGCTGCTTCCCTAGAGCAAGCCCTGCTGAGGGCTCTGCCTGCAGTGACTCTCCAGCATCATTCTGTCCCCTTTGTGTCCCCGCAGGCCCAGCGACCCTGGCGAAGGACGGCGATGAAGCCCCCGGCCCCAGCAGCTGTCGGGGCGCTGCTGGCCCTGGCCCTGCTGGCTCTCACCCACCTGCCCCCGGCCCCGGAGCACTCCCTGCTCCCGCTGCCGGCCTCGGCACCCCCAGCGCCCCCGAGGGAGGCGGCCGCCCCCCTATCTGCAGGACAGGCCCACAGAAGAGGGCTCCCCGTGCCCCGCACTCGCCTGCAGCAGGAGCAGGCCCCCGGCAGGGGCAGGAGGCGGCGGGGGCTGGAGAGGGACGTTCCCCACATTCCCCCTTGGCTCTCTGCCGACGACCTCCAGAAGATGTGGCTGCTGTCCAGCGGGCAGGTGGTCTCCAAATCCCGCGTTCCTGCCCACGGGCAGATCATGCGAGTGAGGCTGCGTGCCGAGGGGGATGTCTTGCCAGCCAGCCCGGAAGGAGACTGCCAGGATGGGCGCTGTGGGCTCATCAAGCGCCCCGGGGACCTATACGAGGTGCTGGCCTTCCACCTGGACAGGGTGCTGGGGCTGAACCGCAGCCTGCCCGCCGTGGCCCGGCGCTTCAGCAGCCGCCTCCTGCCCTACAGCTACACCGACGGCGCCCTACGGCCCATCATCTGGTGGGCTCCTGACCTGCAGCACCTGCAGGATGCCAACAACGACCAGAACTCCTGTGCCCTGGGATGGCTGCAGTACCAGGAGATGCTGCAGCCCCACAGAGCGATGCCGGTGGCCAGAGACACTCCCTGCTCCAGCATCCCACGCCGCGAGTGGAGCCGCCTGGCCCTCTTTGACTTTCTTCTCCAGGTAGGGCTGTGGTGGTTGAGGCCACCTGTCCCATCAGCTGTGGCACCCAAGTTCCCCTGCACCTCTATTGTCTGACCATGGTTATTACAGCGACCTGAGTGGGTCGCTGGGGGTGAGAGAAAGACGAGAATCTTGTTTCTTGATCAGAAGGCTGGATTTATTGATATATGATATATAATACATTATAACTATACTAAATAGAATAAGGAGAGAAGTTGCAGAGCTGCTAAGCTAAGAATCGAAAGAAAGAATCTGTAACAAAGTTGTGTCCAGGGTCTCTGTCCCCAGCTTGCTCCTGTGATTGGCCCTTAATTACAAACATGGGAACATGAACCAATCACAGGTGCATCCTATTGCATTTCACAGCAGCTGATAACAATTGTTTACATTGTCTTCTGGGGCCTCTGCCTCCCAGAAGACGCAGAAATCTGAAAGAAAGGATTTCTGTGAAAAAATGTCTGCGACACATGGTCTCCTGCTCTGTGGGGTCACATCAGGTGTGGTTTCTTGGGGTGTATTTTCACTCTTGGGGAGCAGCAGAACTTTGTGCAGAAGCACTTTGGCCTGAGTATGGCCCATGTTTGGCACTTGCCAGGCAGGTTGTGGTGAGTCTGTCCTCACGTGGGTGAGGTTTCTGCTTTTTATTTTGTGCTGACAGAGGCTTGGAACATTCCTAGAGACATCCCTAGGGCATCCCTAGGGATGAGCTGCACGTCTGTCACCAGCCCCATCACATCCAAACTCAGGGATGTGCTGCTGGCATTGGAAATAAGGAGCCATGCCTTGGACAGCACTGCCTTCCTCCTCCTCGGCATTAATAGCACTTAATCTTCTGTCTGGAAAATCATACCCTGCCTCTACGAGGGATTACAACAGTATCCCAGAGAGTTATCAGGTCTTGGAGGGCAGCTGTGAGGAGGCAAAAGTGATTTCTGTGGAGAAAAAGAAAGCCTGTTTTGGCACCTGGGGGCTGTTTATCAGACAAGAGAAAACTGCCTGAAAGGACAAGTATTAATACAAATAAAAAAGGGAAGAAAGAAAAAAACCTCAAACTACTAAAATATGTTTTTCTTACTCTCTCTTTTTTTACAACTATGCTGGCAGAGGTGGAGCTGTTCTGGCTGGACTTGAAAATATTTCAGCTGAAACAACCAGAGAAATGAGAAGATTAACCAACTCCCTTCCCTTCCAAAATACCACTGAGTGCAGTGGAAAGGCTGAGACTGCAGGAGAAAGTATCTAGTTCTAAGGGGGGTTCCTCCTCAAGGGCTGAAGCAGTGCAATGATAAATTCAAGGGCAATCCACAGGTTCTCCTCAATAATTCTAAAGGAATCCTCCCATGCAGAACAAGTCACATAAAGGTAAAGAGGATATTATAGAAGTGGAGTAGCATCTTTCAGAAATGGCATTAGCAACTCCCACCCTTGCTGGGGAAGGAGAAGTTGGGTGAGTTTTGAGTCCTGTTGTACATTGGCATTGAAATCTTGGTAGTTTTCTTCAATTTCTCTTAAATTTTGGCTTCTTCTATGTTAATTTCTCTTGGTATTTGCCATAAGGGAACCGCCCATTTTGTGCAAAGTTTTAGTGGGGTCAAAATGCCAGGCCTGGTGGTAAAGGGGCAGCTGCTGATGGCTTTGTCCTGCACTTAAAGATGGCCAAAACCAAATCAACTCTGCAGCCACATCCCTGCCCTGGGACACCCACTTCCCAGCCAGGGGGAGAGAAATAAAATTTTCCCTAGGCGATGCCATCCCAGGCTGAATCATAACTGGAAAAACCTATCAGATGCAAGGGGATGCCCCAGGATGGGCATAAGAGGGGCTGAAGGTGAGCTTCTGGTAATGTTTGAGCTTGGATGGGAGAAGGTGTGGCTCCTGTGTACTAACAATAATACTCCTTGTGTACTAGCAATAATACCAAAATTCCCAAGAATTCGAGCTGTTTAGGCTTCGGAAAGAAGAAATTAATACCAGAAAATCAGGGGAGGGCCAGGGGAGGGAGAGCTTGTCAGCATGTCAGGACACTCTCAGCATCTCCACAGCCATCTGGTCCCTCTCCTGGGGCTCCACTTGGACACCAGATCTGGCTCCACCTCACACCCCTGCAGGTTCAGCACCAACCCACCCTGGTTTCACAGGTGCTCGTGGGTGGGTGAGGGGAGTGCTGAGCCTATTTAATGTGTCTCTAAGTTCTCTCAGGTTGTCTTCACCTTCTGTGCAGCCTGCAAAACAACATAGCAGGTGAGAGAAGCTGTGTGCTGAGCTCTTGAGCAGGCAGACCGAGGAGATGCGAGGAGGAAATGTGATATTTCTTCTGTTTCCATGTGTTTTGTGACAAGAGGCTCGAGCACTTTTTCACTGGAGTGTCTCCCAATGGAGGAATACTGACCTGAGTTCTTCATTAAATCTCAGAAAACAGAGAGGTTTAAGAGGCTCCAGTGTGGGACTAATCCTTCTCAAAGGGTTATGAATGGAATGGCCACGGAGATCAAATTTGTGTTTCCCTGCAGCATTTTCTCCAGTGCTTGGTCAGTGTTTGGGTTCAGACTGAGCTCTGTGGCAAAGCACAGCCTGTAATTGGTAACTTCTGCTAATTACCAGGGCAAAGGGAATAGGCAGCCTCTGTGGCTTCTGTCTTGTTGTCACCTGCAGAACCCTTCTGGATCACCTGAGACCTGCTCCAGCCCTCCCCGTGGCTCCAGGAGCCTCTCTGCACCCCGAGCCCTGCCTCCTGGGCTGGCACCAGCAATGCCAAGCAAATCAGCGAGTCGGGCATTTTCACGCTGCAACCAGAAAATAGATTTATTTTGTACTTTATACATATTTTCATATATTTCATATATATTCCATATATTTCATATATATACATGGGGTTTTTTTGTAAACAGGCCTTGAGATCAGGAGGAGGTGAGGCAGCTCCCCTACAGGGTCATGTCAACACACAGCTATGGGGAGGTGTGTTGACAGCCAAGGTCCTGTCTGCCCCACAAATCACCACAGAGGATGTACCAGCTGCTTCTGACAAAGCTGAGGAAGCTCCATAAATACTGAGGCCAGGTCTGGCAGAGATTTATGTCTTTTAAAAGCCCTTCATTCCTCCAAGGGTGTGGTTAAACACTGGAAGTTGTCAAGCAGCTCCACGGTTTCTGCAGGGAACCGGGATGGGAAGCAGGAGGTTTGACAGCCTGGGCAACATGGAGCCTTAGCAGCACCTGCAAATGATTAAACACAAATGTAGCTGAAACAAGTCACTGTGGCCCAACTTAAATGTCAGGCATGCTCTGCATATTCACAGACTGCTTTTTCCCTTGCCAATACTTTTCCATTCATCTTTCCATTGAGAGCTGCTCAGGTTACCGTAGGGATGGATGAAAGGTTGCATATGTGACAGGAACCAGATGAAACCTTCATACAGAGCACCAGTACTGCGAAAAATAAATTATTTCTGAGGTTTCAGACTCTAGGTTTCCTTGGGTGCCTTGTTGTTTTTTTTATTCATTCATCATCATGTATGTCTTCCCTTCATTTCAGCTGGAAGCACAACCCCTTCAGTCTGTGCAGATACAGAATGTGGAGGTACCAGGTGTCTGAGCTCCATCAGAAAAGCCTGTCACCATCACCTTTGTCATCCCCTTCTTCATGCCAAAGGGGTTTTGCATGTGTGCTTCCACTCCTCTCACTCACCACTGTGTGCAGCTTTTCCATTGCACGTCTCCTGGGGATCCCTAGAAATGTTTCATTTTCCTCTCTACAAGAACAGCTCACAACAGGACCTCTCCATCCCAGGCACATGTCCCTGTTAAGGTCCCCCAATTTCTCCTGCAGGTCCATGACCGCCTGGACCGCTACTGCTGTGGCTTTCAGCCTGATCCCTCTGAGCCCTGCGTGGAGGAGATGCTCCATGAGAAGTGCCGGAATCCAGCAGAGCTGGTCCTGGTCCACATCCTGGTATGTCTCCCTGCTGTCCAAGGGCTGCTCTGGGGCTAACACCTCTGGGGAGGTGCCTGGGAGGCAGTTGCAGGGCTGAGGTGGTAGCAAAGGGAATGTAGGTCCCATGGTGATGCTGGGTCCCTGCTGGGAGGTATGCAGAGATATGGAGGGACACAGACATTGGCATCTGCATTCTCCCAAATACTCTCAGGCTTTCTTACTGCATTAAAAAGCAGCCTAAACCCCCACACTGGTGACTCTGCACTGGGTGAACTCCTTGCCATCCTGCTGGCAGGTCCGGAGGAGCGCGCCATCCCGCCTGGTGTTCATTGACAACGCGGGCAGGCCGCAGCACCCTGAGGAGAAGCTCAACTTCAGGCTCCTGCAAGGCATAGGCAGGTAGGAATGTGCATGAGCTGAGCAAGGGCTGAGCTGGCACACAGGGGATGTCCAGCAGCCGTGTGTGTGCTCGCCTTCTTGCTGCTTCTGGCCTTCCTAACGGGGCATCCCTGTGAATGGGGATGGATGTTCTGGATGTCCCCAGAACAGGGTGGGTGGCTGGGCTCTCAAAAACATCCCACGTGCCCCTGCCCTGAAACTAACTCTTTATTCTGCTCTGGGTGACTGATGGCAGGCTCCAAAGCCTATTTCCCCTCTATAATTGGCAGCTGCACAAAAATAATGAATAATCAGGTATTTCAGCATTTCTTGCGCCATTGCCCATGAGGCATTTTGGCATGCTGGAGGCCTCTTGATTTGGAATTTGTTTGGGTCTGTGTCTGATGGAGCTATCCTGCATGCTCACCAGTTTTAAGCAGAAAGCTCCTCATCCTGTGTGAGCATTTCCTCTTGAAGCATCATTACTCCAGTGCCCTTCCTCTTGAAGCATCATTACTCCAGTGCCCCGCTGCTCAGCCTTCCCTGGATAACCCCTTCCTTCCCTGTCTCTGCTCCTCCCTGCAGCTTCCCAGCGGCAGCAGTGGCCAGGCTGCGGTCGGGCAGGTTGCAGAGCCTGCTGCTGCAGTCCCTGCGCCTGGACCGGGAGCTCTGGGAGAGCCAGGGGGGCGCCGAGGGGCTCAGACCCCTGCTCCAGACCATTGACAGGCGGGCACAGATCCTGCTGCGCCACATCCAGGAGCACAACCTGACGGTGTTCGAGGACTCGCTGCGCTGAGCCGCCCCCCGGCTGGCTCACGGTGTCCCTGCACATCCCAGCAGCCATGGATGTCCCTCCTGCCCTCGGCATGGACGTTATGAGGCTCCACGCTGGTGCTTGGCTCTCCACAAGGTGTTTCCCCTCACCTGGAGAAGCAGATGGAACCACAGGGAGTAGGAAAGATGGGGAGGAGATGTCTCCTAAGACAAGCCATGACTGCTTGAGAAAGGCAACAATCATCAAGTTATGGTCTCAGCATGGACTTTCGAAGGGAGAGCACATCCATGAGGTTTTTTGGGTGCCTTTACTCACACACAGAGAAACACACAAACAGCAGCTATGGAAACTGGAGTCTTGGACGGTTGAACAGCTGACAGGGACCCTGGAAAGAGTTAAAGAAGCTTCCTTCCTAATGGAGGAAGTCACTGGCAGCCTTTCCATGGCTTTTTGATGATGCCTTCGCTATTTCCAAAACATCCTGGACAGAGAGGCAGGGGGAAAGCAGAGGGGAGCTTTCTAAGTGGATTAAAAAAGGCAAGACACTAGAGCACAGCTCTGCCTTTCCCCCTGCAGAAGAGGTGATGTGTGCCTGGAAGTGAGTGTGAGCCACTGCCTGGAGCTGGGATTAGGCAGGACCTTGAAGCTCAGCAGCACTGGGCAGCAGCTGCCCTCACACAGCCCATGGTACCATCCCCAGTGAGAGCCACGTGCTGTGTGCCATGAGCCATGGTCCATGCCCGTGCCCTGGTGGGCCTGGGCTGCTGCCAATGCTCTCAGTGTTGGATTTGAAGATTTAAATCTCTCCTTTACTCTTTGCCTTCCCTGTCAGGGGATTAAAGGCAAAACTACCCCACTTCTGAAATGCACTCCTGGCTGCTCTCCTGGGCACGACTGCATGTAACTCTTCCCCAGGCTTGCAGAAATATGTTTTAACAAAAATGCCAAGCTATTTTAGCAGAAGGCAGTCAAGTGCAAAATGGTTTCTGAGCACGCTGGCACCTCCGGCAGAGCCCACCCTGTTCCTGTCACCCCTCAGGCTCTTTCCCAGCAGCCCATTCTGATGAAGCACAGCAGCATCCCAGCTAGGTAGGTCCTCAAGTGTCAGGGCTGAGAGATAATTCAAAACCAAAATGAACAGGAGGAAAAGAGATGCAGGGATGGGCTCCACTATTCCCCGCAGTGTGTTTCCCAGCTGAGGCATGCAGTCAGTGTTTGCCTGCAGCAGTCAGTTCCTGGCCTGTGGGTTTATGGTTTGCCACCAGAAGGCTTTTTAAAGGCCTCCATTTCTCCAGTGTAACAGGCAGAGCATCCATTGCTTCAGACACTCCCAATTTACTTCTGCCTTTGGAAAGTCTCAGTGAGACTGGCATTGGCACCCAGTTGCCCCATGGTACAGCTGCCCCATTGAAATAGCTTTGGAGAACATGGCCACCCATGCAGTGGGAGAGGAAAAGCTGGCTGTGGATACCTTCCCTGCTCCATCCTTCTCAGCACTATGTCAGTTTTAGAGTTTGCTTTAACACTCGTGCTGATAAGCACAGGCAATTGCCTTTTTTCCCCTTTTCCCCCTTGCTGAAGAGAGGGTGAAGCGAGACGTGGGTGACATGAATCAACAAGCAAGCACAAGTGCTCTCAGGAAGCATCAGCACTCAGCATCACAGGCACAGCAGCATCCAAAGTGCCATCAGCTTGTTCCTGGAGTCCTGCCCTCCAATTAGCCAGGGAGGGCCTTTCCCCCAGCACTCTCTCCACCCCGTGAATTATCACCCTATTTGCTGTGCCATGAGATGGATGACAGTCATGGAAACCCTGCTAAAGCCTGAATCATGAGGATTTATTACTGGGAGGTGAGCTTAGCTTGTGAACTTGAAAGAGAGCAAAATAACTCATCCTGGGTCCTATGAAAAGCCATACTCAGGCATGGCTGTGTAGGAATAAAGGATTCTAAATGTAACAAAATTAAATCAAAAAAATATGCTGGGAAAAAACGTGAGGTAACAAGAGCATTAGCGTAGAGTTTTAAGCAGAAGGCATAAGTTATGATGTACAGCATCAGTCAGAGTCTTGCTTTATCTCATTGAAGTGAGAAATTTCATCAAAGGAGAGGTTTTCATCCCATGTAAACCAAGTTCTCAGCGAGAATCAAGAGACAGGTGAGGCTCTGTGCAGTGGCCAAAGCTGTGGACATTGCTGAGCTGGACCAGCAGCTTTTGCCTTGCCTCTGGTTGCATCTGCTCTACCTTAACATTGCACAAGGTAGTGGGGTTTATTTGCATTTCTTTAGTTGTAATGTGAGTTTGCTGGCTAAACACATGTGGGAACATCTGTAAGCAGTTATACATGTGAATAAAAATCTCTTGTGATTTAACAAAGAGCCATGTATGGATAAATGAGAGAAGCAAAAGCCAAGATCTTGCTGAGACTGATCATTAATTTTCTTTAATTAGTTCATTTTTTCCATGGGCTTGCCTATGTAACCAGCACAGGCTCTGAACTGCAGTCATGGCTGTTCAGAGGGATCCTGTGCCCTGCTTGTGCCAGCCTTTACCCTGTCGTGTTGGGTTTGGTTTGCTCCAGCTATCAGTGTGTTGTATCTCCTATGACAAACTTACTGTTATGGTTGTAACTACTTTATAGTTGGAAATATTCGTGTGGGGCCATGCTTGACAAACTAGATTTCATCCGAGCAGGGATGCTGTTTTACCAAGTTTTACTGCACGCCATCACAGATCGTGTTGGGGTGCGGTCACAAAAAACGGTGATCCAAGCTGGCTGCAGATTGGCTTTGTCTTTAAGAAGGCAGCAGCAGCTAAGCAAGGGAAAAACCAGTGGAGAGACAAGAGCTCCTTGACAGGGGGTATCCCTGCAGCACCCTCCTGCTCACCCTTGGCACCTTGGAATGTGCTTGGAACAGCATTTGGGAGCATGGGCACACACCTCCACGGAGCTCCAGTGGGAGGGAACTGCTTCATCCCGCAGTGATCCGAGCAACACGAGCCTGTTCCACAGCTCTCTGCTGTGCACAGCCTTTCAGCTGGCAGGAAACAGGGCTGGGGCTGGGAAGGCAGGGCCAGATTGGCTCCAGCCTGCCGAGAACACACACTCACACGTGCAAACACCCACTGTGTCACTGCTCCTGTGCAGCCTGAGCTTCACCCCCAAAGCTGGTGATCCCTGGCACCCTCAGCAGCCTGCTCCAGTGCTTTGCTGGCCTCACCCTCCATAAACGAAATACCATTTGCTGATTTGCTGCACTTAAGGGCCACTTCTTGAGTGGGACACTAGTAGTCTTTTCTGCAGCCCCATGTGGACCTCACAGAGCAGCCCCAGCACTCACTGAACCCAGCCAGTGGCCAGGGGTGACACCAGTGGGGTGGCACTTGGAAGTGAGGTGTCGAGCCACCCTTGTGCTTCCTTCTCCTTAAGGGTGGGTTGTCACAGGTGGCACTCAGAGACCCCACAGGGATGTTCTGCAAAACCCACCCAAGCATCCCCATGCTGCACAGGGGAAGCATGGGCTGACTGCTGCCTGAGAGGCACGAGCTAGCAAGTAAATCCAAATTCATGGTTAAATCTCTGTATATAAAAATAATCTGGCTTTTAGAAAGCAATTTATTTATTCTTTCAGTACTTACTTAAATATTTATGCGAAAAAGGAGGAAAAAAGTCTGCTCTGACATAGGATTATTGTTGTAGCCACAGTCTTTGAGATTAATGGAAGTAAATTAGCCTGATGTTTTATTTACATCCAGAAAAGCAATAGATAAACTCTCCTTGTGATGGATTTTCTTCATTAGCTGGGCGAACGCCTAAGGTACAGCTCTTGACATTGTTTCTTCCACACAGTTAGACAAACAGTTTATCAAAAGAGTATAAAATTGTCAGGAAAAGGAGCAGATTAATGGCCAGTAAAGTGAAGATCATTGAATTTATGATATAAGTAGCAGTATCACTGGAGCTCAAGAAATGGCTTATTAGATAGGCACCATGTACACACACAGGGAGGTGCTGAGCCCCCCCGGATCTGCCACATTGTCGGCAGCTGCTTCCCAAATCCCAGCGGGGTGGTGTCCACACTGAAGCTTCACCTCCCTCCTCCTTCTCTCCCTGTAGGTTTGGGTTTATTCTGTAGCTCTCTCACACAATATCCTCTCAATTAAAACCCCCTAAGATTTCAGAAATGATAGCTTTTTCTTCATATCTGTGCTGATGCAACCATTTCCGCAACTTATTTTGGAAATTTTGGCTGCTTTTTACACCATGGATAATCGTGCCAATATCAGCAACAATGATGTACAGGTCTTATGATTATTTGTAAAAAATCCCCCAGCATTAGCAGCTTATGGATCCCATATGGCTCCTGCAGCAATTACCGCTGCAAGGATAATTACCTGCCAGATAAGGCAAATGGAAGAAAGGAGACAGGGAATGTGGGAGAAACTAAACATTCCCAGGGATGGCAGAGGGGCTGTGCTTGTGGGTTCCTGAGGTCTCTCTGCTCTGCTAGACACGGGCTCAGGTTTCCAAGCATCAGAAGAGGGGTTTTGGGTACACTGATGACTAAAAACCATGAATTTAGCTGGTGCCATGAATCTTGGTGTCCGAGTGCTGTCTCCAGCAGGTGGCATTGGCTCGACAGGCTGTCTTTTCCCAGGGCTTGCCAAGAGAGTCTTACAAGTTTCATCTCTGGACTGGCAGATTTCAGGCTGCTAAAGCATCATTAAGTCCCTAATTCCTTTGCAGCCTAATCTGCCCAGCTGTACTTTATATCTCTTCACCAGCACCACCTTTTCTCCCCCCATTTCTCTCTTTCCTACAAAAATCTAGATGTAGGGAAGCAGAGAGTTGTGTTGCCAGCAAGACAGAGCAAGTGGCTGCTTGAAGAACAAAATGCCACAGCACCCTGGGCTCTTCCCACCCTAGTGTGCACCCAAATGTGGGCCCAGGTGCACAGGAGCCACAGGATTTTTGGATTGAAGATCCCCAATGGTGGTAAAGTCAAGGAGATTTTCCCTACAGTTATGTTGGATAGCTGCTGTTTTGGTAGCATTGTCTCTGTTCCAGAGAACTCGTAAAGTTCAGGGCATTTTGAATGGGCCCTGCAGCTGCCCCTG